TATGTAGAGTTTGTGAGAGGCCATTGATTGGGACTAGCTTCCACACTAGGCCCCAACAGACATGGAAAACTAACGGAGTCACTCCAGCTCACGCTAAAAGTTCTACATTACCAAAGTGAAAGTAAGTTGTCACAAACTTGCTTATCTGGAACTTAAAAAAAAAAAAAGCAGAAACAGAACAAAAGAGATTATGACACAGAAAGAAAGAGATAATTACCCCAAACAGACAGATTTAGCTGGGTTAATTAGGAATTCCCCTGTTTTGATTTTATAAAGACAGTAACTCTGAAATGACTTTATTTCTCCTTTCCTTAGTCTCTCTCCCTTTTTTGCCTGTAAAGTCAACCTCATCCAATTTATAGAACGGGATTTTGCCCAATTCTAGAATTGTTAATAAAAACTAATTAAGTCAGCCAGGTATGGTGGCGCACGCCTTTAATCCCAGCACTCAGGAGGCAGAGGCAGGAGGATCTTTGTGAGTTCAAGGCCAGCCTGGTCTACATATACATAGTGAGTTCCAGGACAGCTGGGGCTACAGGGAGACCCTGTCTCAAAAAGAAAAAAGAAAAAAAAGAAAGAAAGCTGTTCAAAGACTAGGACTTGAATTACAATACAGAAAAAAAAACTAAGTCATATAAATAAATTTGTTGTAAGTTAATCTTCTGCCTATATGTATGTATGTAGACAATGGGGACTGAATGTGTTTCTGTCTGTGGGTGAGAGTTTTAAAAAAAAATTAAATGCTGCTTAATTACAGGGACTTCCAGAACCTTGATAGGCCTGTGGAGGGCTTATACTTGAACTTTAGTGCTCATATAAGCAGGAAATCCTGAGCTGGGGATCGAGAAGAAAGGATACCTTTGTTACATTATAGCTATTCAACAAATTTATTGGGTAACTTTAACGTGTGTACCTGCCCTTATTTAAGACACTGGAGGCATAACTGTCAAGAACAAAGTGACCTCCAAAATGTTATATGTAATATAACAACAGTAGTGATAAGTACTATGAAAAGGACTGGAAGTTGCTGGGCCTGGTGGCACAGGTTTGTAATACCAACTATTTGGAAGGCTGAGGCAGGAAGATTGCAAATTTGAGGCCTGCGTGGATCACAGAGTGAGCTCCAGTGCAGCATGGGCAATTTAGCAAGACCCTATCTCAATAAATCAATCAATCAAACAATATATTATAAGAAAAAAATTCTAAAATGTCCTCAATTTAATTAAGAGTGGTGGACAATGGAGGGGAGGAGACATAAAGAGGTTAATCAGCTAATCAACTACAGTCTAAGAAGAAAAGACTGCTTTATATAATTTCATGTCTCTCTCGCTCTCTTTTTTTTTCCTTTGGCCTTTTTGAGACAGGTCACCCTGTAGCCCCAGCTGGCCTGGAACTCACTATGTAGACCAGGCTGACCTTGAACTCACAGATCCGCCTGCCTCTGCCTTCCAAGTGCTGGGACTACAGGCATACACCACCATACCTGGCCTTAAATCAATATCTCTCTCTCTCTCTCTCTCTCTCTCTCTCTCTCTTAAATTT